ATCAAGTATGAATCTTACCATGAACTTCAGGATAAAAGCTGCCCAGAACTACGAGTGGACATCCTACCAGTTGGATAAATGTAGTCAAGTAAGCCAAACCCGCACACTCTCTACCGATCAGAACAGAAGATCAGATAGAACCGAAGTACCCACCTCTCTCCTTAGTTCATGAGTAACCACTTAGGTGTTGAATTTCGGGACGAAATTCCCTCTTACGGGGGGATAATGTGACAACTGGAAAATTCTAGACCAAGTTAGGTCTAAACTTCAATCATGTGCCAGTGAATTCATAACGTAATCGTCTTAAGGGGGAGATAATTGTAACGCCCGCAGATTCAGGCTAGTCAATTTAGAGGCAATAAGCGTCAAAAATGACTTTTTTATAGAGGATTATTTAGAATAAATAATCTTATCTAAGTTTTAGTATATGTCACAAGGTTTCCGTACATATAAAGAACGCCGAAATCCGAGTTATAACGAAGAAGTTATGACTTGTCGAAGTTTCGCGACAAAACGAGCACGACACCGGGAATTGTAAAAAGTGAGTTTACGATAGATTACTTTTTAGCCTTAATGATCTAAATGAAAGTTATAGAGTACGTCTCCACCTATGCGTGGATATAAAGAACGTCAAAAACGGAGCTCGTATGCAAAAGTTATGACCTTCCGAAGATACAGCTGTCTAAGAGCATGACGCGTGTCAGAAACCTAAATTTAACTGAACTCACGACGTGAGCATCATTTCTCACGATGTCAGGGGTCAAAACGCCACTTCTTAAGCCTAGAATACACACGACAAGTCTACGTTAAAGACTCACGACGTGAGCTTTAATTCTCACGACATGAGGAGTCATCTGGACACCTTTCGGAGCTAGAAATGCGCGTGGCAAAGCTACGGGATTATCAGGACCAAACTCACGACGTGATCCATGCATGCTCACGACGTGAGAGTCAAAATCTCGAGCTATAAAAGGGATGCGAGGTCTCCGGGTTTGGTTTACAAAAATCAATTCTCCTTTCATTCTAAATACCCTTTTACGCCACTTTTAACCCCACGAAGCCTCGGGAACACCCCTAACACTCGAAGAAAGCCCGGAGCCCCGAAGTCCTCGAGAAAATAATCTTTTACAGTCGAAAATCTGCCCGCGTAAAGCCCGGTTTTCATCAGAAACTCACAGTTTCTTCAAGAAAAATGCTTTCTAGAAACGAAACGCTGCCCAAATCACCACTTATCAGGTGAGTTCATACCCCCATATTTTTCCAAGCTTTTTCAATGTTTTTAGGGGGGGGGGAATACAAGTAAAACACAAGAAATTTTATGTTTTAAAATATAATTTACTTATTATGTTTTTCTTACCATTATTATGTATTTAAACGTGAAACATGTTAAAACATGGAAATAACTATGTGATTACTCAGTATATACAATAGGGTTAGATAAAATTGAAGTCCGGTAGACAGTGGAATGTGTGATTTCCACCTTACTTCCTGTTCCTTGTTTGGTTGTGGGCTTAGGGCAGATTCACACATTCAACTGTCTATTCGGTCTCGGTTATATACAACTTGTATATACTAAGCGATCATACGAGGGTAGTATCGTCACATCGAGTTTTTCAGGGCAAAGACATCTTCAGCTAGTTTAACTTATAAAAAACTAGATAACATTAAAGTATAGTAATTATACTTGTGCTTTTCGGTCTTGGAACGATTAAGACTACAAATCGGTTTTATAGAAAATATAGGATTTTCTATGATAAACATCGTTATTTCAAAGGTAAACAGTGTTCGATTTAACTTTCTGAAAACAATAACAATTATTACTGAAAACAATGTTTTACAATAGAGTAAGTGGAACTAGGAACATATTTACAAAAGGTTCAACACTTATTTACAAACTAGTATAACATAAAGGACCTTTAATGGTTAACTCTATAATTCATTAGTTTATACGTCAGAGTTATATATAAATAATATCTGATAGGCAGTGGAATGTGTGACTTCCGCCTTACTTCCTGTTCCTTTGTTTGGTTGTGGGCTTATGGCAGATTCACACATTCAATTGTCCGTTCGATATTAGGTTATATATAGCTAGTATAAACTAAGTGATTGTAGAAGGAACTATTGTGGATACCATTCTACTAAAGAAAATATAGTATTTTCTGAAGGAAACACATTCATCATATCAAAACGAATCATTAATGTTAATTATGTGATTACTTGGTGAATACGATAGAGTTATATATAATGAAGATCCGATGGGCAGTTGAATGTGTGACTTCCGCCTCATTTCCTGTTCCTTGTTTGGTTGTGGGCTTAGGGCAGATCCACACATTCAACTGTTTATTCGATCTGTATTATATATAATTTGTATTCACTAAATGATCACAGATGGAACGGGTACGGTCATATTACTCATTAAGAAATTATAGGATTTTCTGGAGGAATAGGCGAACTTTTTCAATGAACAAAGAGTATACTTTTTATAAAAAAAATACTTATGAACTCACCAACTTTAATGTTGACACTTTTTCAAACCACTTGTATTCTCAGGAACGTTAGTAGGCAGATACCCTCTCAAGTGTTTCGAAGATGGAGCCTACGTCTTAACTTTTGTTATAGTTTTAATGTAAATCATGAAATGTTTTGAACACAATGTAAATTATATGTTATTAATACAATGGTTGTTGTTACTTTGTTTACTATTATACAAATGTTGTGATACTGTACATGACGTCCTCCGCCCCCGAATGTTTCCGCCGTTCCGGTTTGGGGGTGTGACAATACCCTCAAGGTGATCCTTAAAGTCTTCTACACCGCTCTCTTGGACCCACAATCAAGTAAGGTCCTGGCTTGATAACTAGATAAGTGGAAGTGTAACATGAACCTCTTATACAAATTTCCTTACTTTTCGTATTGGAATCTGATATGCGTTTTAGCATCTCACAAAAGGCTTGTCTTACATGGTACGAAGGTCAATATTCAGTGGAACTGGAGCTAGTAGCCTTCTAGTAGAAGACATATTTTCTATTTGGAAGCTCTGATAGTGTTACATGTGTAGATTGTTGGAACCAACCTCTATGAACAACTCTACTACAGAAAGAAGAGTGTAACAACAATTGTAAAACAATACTTTGGTGTGTGATCTGTTGGAAGGAGGACAAAAAATGAAAAAAAAACAAGAAGATGGTGTAACTTTCACATCTTATTATCTGCTCGAAAATGTAAATTACACACTCAAAAACAAATGACAACCTAACCTATTTAGAAACAACTAACCAAACAGATATACCTATAAAGTAGGTAGACATCCTACAAGTAAACATGAGTATACATGATCTCCATAATACTCGGTCCATTCCCATGCATATCGGTCAAAGCTATGACCCATTCTCTATTATTTAGCTTAATCCTCCAACATCAAGATTATACCCAACAATCACCCCTAATCTTGATGTTCTTGACCTTGATTCTCTTGCTATAATCTTGCTCAGACTTCTTACTGTCTCATGCCTTTTTCATTTCCAACAGGTGATCAACCTTACTGATTGTTTCACCTTCTTGCTTGCTTCATCTTGTTGCTTGCTTTCTTGGTTTCATTCTTATGATTGTTGAATGCTACCTGTTGTGATTTTGTTGCAACTTGCTACATACTTCTGGTTTTCTACTTGCTACAAACTTCTTGCTTGCTATCTTGCTTTTCTTGTGATCACCAAAACATGATCAACCTTGCTACTTGCTTTTCTTTCTTGCAACCGGCCTTCTCCTGCTTCTTAATCACTTGTTGCTTGCTTTAAGAACACAAAGTTCTTATATCTTGCTCTTGCCAAACTTTCTGTTTTCTTGCTTGATTCGAACTCTCTTGTTTTCTTACTTCGAATCTTATTGCTTGCTAGTTAACTTTCTATTCGAACCACCTAGGTTCAGTCTTGCAATCTTGCTTTAATATTGCTGTGTTTTGTTTCTTGCTTGCTAACATACAACAGACTTTTGCTGTTTATTTCTTATTTCCTCTTTTTTCTTTCTGTCTTTCTTCTTTCTAATTTGATGATGTGCAGTCGGTCTTCATGCTTGCTACTTGCTTTCTTCCACTCCACTTGATTACATATAGTAGCATTCGATCTTCTCTTTGTTGCTACGAACCAGGTGTGAACCTGGGTGCTCTGATACCAAGTGTTGGAACCAGCCTCTGTGAACAACTCTACTATAGAAAGAAGAGTATAACAAACAAAGTAAAACAATACTTTGGTGCGTGATCTGCTCGAAAACGGAAATTACGCACTCAAAAACAAATGACAACCTAACTTATTTATAGACTACTAACTAAACAGATGTACATATAAAGTAGATACACATCCTACAAATAAACATGAGTATACATGATTTCCATAATACCCGGTCCATTCCCATGCATATCGGTCAAAGCTATGACTCATTCTCTTTTATTCAGCTCAATCTTCCAACATCAAGATTATACCCAACATAGATTCACCTCAACCAAGATAAGGATCATTGAATTTGAAGGCAGGGGATCGAATACATTAAGTGCTATATGGGGATGTCTTTACGGATGGCAGTTGACAAAGAATTTCCGAGTTATAGTGATCTTAGTTGTAGTTGGTAAAAGTTGGTCCTAAGCAAACACAACATTAACATCTCGAAGACAAGCGGCTGCCAACTCGACTAAATGTCGTGAGAATGGGCATTCTTATCCCTTCCTCTATGTGTCTCTTATACAACATGAAAGAATGGTACTAGTTCAAGCTACACCTATTTCGAATAGTTAAAAAAAAAAAAAAAAAAAAAAAAAAAAAAAAAAAAAACATGTAATCTACTTTAAAAGTTTTGATGAACTATTTTATGTATATTATCAAACATTAAATTACAATGAACTTAAATAGCTTACGCAATGATAAGTTTCTTAACATAGGACAATTATATAAGATATTGTAATTTACAACATTAAATTAAACAACCAATTAATAATTTAAGAAATATATAGAAGCTCCCTGTATATAAACCCATATTTTTCTGCGATGGGATATTCAACAAATATTTTTTTTTAAAACATCCTAGGAAACCGCATCTGAAAATGGAAGATTTGATGTTTTTCAATTGAAATTTCAAGATCTTCATATCAGCCTTTCTTCCCCATTCTGTCTGCATACCTCTTGTATGGATCATGCATCCTTTGCACATTACTCATGGCACCAAACACTCCATAAGCATCACTTTCATCATACCGACCACCACCCTTTGCATCACTGTCATAATCTTCATCACTAGCTTGATCCATACTCACAAGATCATCACCATACTTGACACTCTTCAACCTCAACTGCATAACTTTCCCTTTAGGTTCATTCCCTTTAAGCAGCTCCACAACTTCTTTCATATTAGGCCTCCTCTCTGGTTCACTTTGCACACAAAGTGCCGCAGCATTTATGAACTGTTTCAACTGTTCCTCGTCAAAATTGCCTCTCAGTTTTGGGTCAGCCAGCTCGCGAAAACGACCTTTTTCAATGTAAGGTTCAGCCCATTCGGTTATGGTTCGTTTGACACCTCCAGGGAGCTTCTCAATGGGTTTTCGTCCTGTAACAAGTTCAAGGAGAAGAATGCCAAAGCTGTAAACGTCGCAGCTTTCTGAGACCTTTCCCCACATGGCGTATTCAGGAGCTAGGTAACCTAGGGTTCCCTTAACCCTTGTGGTCATGTGACTAACACCATCTGGGATTAGCTTGGCGAACCCAAAATCAGCTACTAGTGGATCGAAGTTCGAGTCTAGGAGGACGTTACTTGCCTTTATATCTCTGTGGATTATGTGGGGTGTTACTTCATGGTGCAAGTACCTATAAAAGCAAAAATAGTGTCTTCATATAGTAATTTGGAGTAAGATCGAGAATCCATTTTGCTTAAAACACAATTTAAAGGTTTTTTTGAAAAAATTGTAGAGAGAACTAGTGTTTTTAACGTTCATTTATTTTGAAAATTTATAGTATTCCTTATTATTTTTTATTTTCTTAAAAAACATTGAATACCACTAATACTGAAGCTTGTGAAATTCGATAATATTACTTATTATTATTTTTATGATATATTAACCTATTTGCGTTCATTGTTTTTTCATCTTGTACTAGAGATCCTGTCCCCGTTTAATCATTTGAGATATTTTTTTGGATGGTAAAAATTGTGTTGTCTTCGGAGGGTGAACAGTTAAATCTTATAAGTCTGTAACATAACTACAGTTCTGGATATAAAGTAAATTTTTTATTTTTTATTTTATTTTTTATTTTGTAATAATACTAATAACCTTATATTGGTCAACACCTAAGACTCTTGGACACACATCGTTTTAATATCATTTAATAAAGATAAGTTCTTAATTCCATTTTGATTCTTAATGTTTTTCCCGCGTTAGAAATAGACTAATTTAACATAAATGTAAGAATAGTGGATGAATATTTATTGATTGATAAAATGATCGAACAAATACCTATTAAAATAACGAAACCGTATATTTATATACAAAAATCAAATATTTTGACTTTCAACAAGTTTTTCGTCTTTTTCTTGATCCCATTTTCAGTACAACGGCCGGCAACACGAACAGCTAGGCATATTTTAATATATGGCGAAACATACAATAATCTACTCAAAAAAATGTCATCTCTTAACTTAGAGTAATTCATCCATCTATAGGTTTTTTTTGTCACATGTCCTCTTCTTCTTCATTTGGACACATGACATTTTCTAGAATTTTTAAATTTTTTATTTTCCACTTGTCATTTTATTGTATTTTTCATTTTATTAAATTAAAATTTCATATTTAATATGTAAGGTAATATATACATAAGATATTTATTATAAAGGGTTTATATATGTAATGTATTCAATACATTAAAGCCTCATTAATTTTAATAATTTAAAAATTTTCTCATTTTTCTTATAAATTCAAACTTTTCAAATTGTTAAAATTTCATATTTAATTTTTTTTAATTAAACACATGTAATACATAGGTCTCAAACCTAGTATCTTGTAGGGGAAACGACTATGGATGCACATCCTCTTAATAAATAAAAGACAAGATTTAATCATTTCTCAAGTTTTCAAGAAACATCATTTGCTAAAATATTGACCATCGACATCTAAGGTAGGTTTCATATACAAATGGTGAGACTTTCGCTAATTGATTGATGTATCTCTATCTAATCACAAGGCTGTAGGCAGTAGCTCCTTATAAAATATCGGCTGTTCTAAAAAAGGGTAGAATAATCCTACTCGGAGTATATATTATTCAGTTATGCAAAAGTTGAAAAACGAAAGAAAAAAGTTTATTTATGGAAACTTACAGTAGTCCCTCAGCTGAGCCGATAGCAACTTTCATTCTCTTTTTCCAATCAAGTTGAACTTCATTAGCAAATTGGCCATGGAGGTGAGATAACAAACTAAGATTTGGCATGTAATCATAGACAATAAGTCGTTGTTCAGCCGAAGCGCAATAACCCCTCAGTCCCAACAGATTCTTGTGACGTACCCTTCCAAGAACTTCCACTTCTACTGCGAATTCCATCTCAGCCTTTGAATTCATCGATTTCAATTGCTTCACTGCGATCTGCATGATAAAGACAGTTAAGCAATTGATGAAAATATATGTAGAACGATTTCAATATTCATGATCATGCATGACTCGAGTTATATATGTGTATATCGGGAGTGCATGCATGAATCACAGGATGAAATCTTCAAGAAAACACAAGAAGAAAAAACTGACCTGAAGACCATCGGATGTTTTTCCCCAGTAAACACTTCCAAAACCTCCTTCTCCAAGCTTATTATCTTCACTGAAACCGTTAGTGGCTATATGCAACTCCTTGAAGGTAAAGATACGCCACGGAGAATGACCATCTCTTGACGGAACCCTAAAAAGAAAAAAAGAAAAAAAATACCCCATTAATGTTTTTATTATACTAGAAATAAGATACGTAATAAAGTTTTGCATACCCTTCATCAACCTTGTCTGACTCACAACAGCTGCAGGCGGAACCCATAATGTGGGTATGGGTTTTCGAAGACTATCGCTTTTGCAAATTTGAAAAACAAAGTTTTCCTTTTTAAGCAGAAGTAGATGACATTTGTTTCATATAATATGTAATACTGCCGACGTTGGCCGGCTCACCTTCCGTCTCAAGTATAAACTCGTTTAATCAAATATATGAAAGTAGTGCTTCAACTAAAGATACTTGCAATGATTTATTTAAATGTTTAATCTAAGGGCCTCTCCAACTTATTTTGGTATTCTAATATTGAAAATTGATAAACAGTAGTTTATCCGGATTTTTTTTACTACACAATAGTAACAGAGACGCTCGCTGTCTACGTGGCCATGAACCACTGCCGTACACACTATCCCGATGGCTCATGGTGGCTCGTTGTCGTCGTCGATTGTGGTGGGGAGGACGGATCAACACAACCAATGAGAGTTCTCTCTCAGCCTTCTCTCTCTCTCTCTCTCTCTCTCTCTCTCTCTCTCTTCGTGGTCAGTATACCAAACTTGGTTCGTGGTTCGTGATGGCTAGGTGGAGCTGGTTCGTGGTCCAAGAGAGGTATTGCAGATGGCCTAAGATATTTACTTACCAAAATATGGTTGTTTTTATTTTATTTACCAAATAATTGTGTCTTTTGTTAATATTATTTTTTATTTTTTATTGAACACTCCCTCCTTTCGGACGTGTATCCTTATCTCCCGCCTCCCGCCTCCCTCCGCTATAACCGTCCACCATCCACATTGCAGCATGCCTCCCTCCTCAAGCCATACGTTGCCCTCGTTCTTCGTCACCCTCAACAAATTTTCAGAATTTGATCAACAATTTATTCCATCATAATTGACGATTAATTACATCATCTTCTACATGTATCTCCGACTCTCCTCCAACGTATTTGTTGATGTTGTATCTATTCCGGTCAACTCTCTCAACCCACATCCTTCATTACATTGTCGTATGTCCATGGTATCTTTGATTCGTATTTCTGATGTTTGTAACAGCCCAAAAACCAGATAAAATTTTTCATTTTTTAAAGGAGTAATTATAATCATAATTTGTTATCCAAAAATCCATTACATCATATCATGTCAAAATATCAAAGTATCAACATCAATAAATGCGGAAAATGCTGGAGAGTGAATGTTGCGCCATCAAGTCACGCCCTTCCCTTTAGTACCGGAAGTACCTGAAAACACCCAAATAAACTGTAAGCAAAAGCTTAGTGAGTTCCCAAAATATCACATAACATACAACCATAGAATACCATGCGATATACATAAAGTTGTCATGGGCTACCCCCATGCTCTTTACCTGGAATGTCATGGGCTACCCCCATGGTCTTGATATCCAAGTGCCATGGGCTACCCCCATGGTCTGATATCCAAGTGTCATGGGCTACCCCTATGGTCTTCACACAAGTGTAACGGGCTACCCTCGGGGTCTTCAGACAATTAAATACATAACAACTACCAATCCATATGTCAAATAATGGGCCGACATTGGTGCATTCGACTCATTGATATACTGAGAAGTCTCACCTCTTACTGCTGGTAAATAATAACTGCTCGGCTACCGGTCCAGAAATCTCACGTTGTAAATATACAATTTACCCTAATTAGAATTATGATACGAACTCACTCATGGGCCCAAAATCCCTAAGTCCGAACTCCTCAAATAAGGCCCAAAAGCATTTTCCCTTTTAATGGGCCCAACCATATTCGACCCATTACAATAACTGCTCTAAGGCCCAAAAGGCCCAACCCATGACACACAAGGCCCATAACAAAATTGAGCCCACCTATCCTAACCAGGCCAAGGCCCAAATAAATATTCTGGAAGTCCACAATGCAGCCCTAAACTCCTAGGGTCCAGAAATGAAGCCCAACACCGAAGGCCCAACACCGCAGCCCACTGTTGAGTACACGAGGCGTACTGAGCTTGTACGCTAAGCGTACACGCTTAAGGGCTTGTACGTTGCGCGTACAAGCTTGGACGCCCAGGGTACTCCTCAGGTTTGCCAACTTTGCCTTTTAGCTCTTAATTGGTTAAGACATTAGCCCGAAGACTTAGATATGATCTCCTTGAAGTGGTTTATCATGTAAAGTTGAAAATTTTACGTGCATGCAAGGCTCAACAAGGTCCTAAAGCTCAAAAGAGCTTAATAAGTGATTTAATACTTGCATGGAGGTCCCAAACACCATAAAGTTGTACCTTTTAGCTAAAGGAGTCCCCTAAACGTCCAGATCTACAAGATTGGCATCTCAAATGGTCTTAACTCTTCAAGACCAACCAAAGGGACCAAAAAGGACCAAAACAAGATTATGAAGAGATCTAAGAAATAGATAAGCACTGTATGAACTTTATACCTCCAGAAGCTCCCTAAGATGATGAAGATGATGGATCTGGAAGTTCCACCAAGTCCAATACTTGCACCACAATATCATCTTCTTGCAAACACACCAAAAATGGCTCCTTTTTGTTACTTCAAGCTCAAAATCACCTCTAATGGCTATTTAGGGTTTTTAGGGATGTTTAAAGGTAATGTGGCTGATAAAGGTCAGGGTCTAAAGGCCATAATTGTGTTTAAATAGGGAACAAGTCCGAACATTAGGGTTTTGGTCATAGGCCACGCATGCCCCGCATACCTCCTCGTACGCCCCGCATACGAGGCTCAACTACCCGATAATGCGCGACTGAGTACTCTAAGCGAACATGCATGTACGCCCAGCGTACGATGGGTCTTCCTTGCCAACTAAAAATTCAACAAAAGCTTAAAAAGGAATTACCTAAATTCGTATGTTACAACTCTCCCCCACTTGAATTAGACTTCGCCCCCGAAGTCCTCCGATGCGAATAAATTTGGGTAGTGCTCTCTCATCTCGTCCTCCGGCTCCCAGGTCCACTCGGAACCTCTTTGGTGCTGCTGCTACACCTTTACCAAATCTACCAACTTATTACGCAAAGTCTTTATCTTCATCTCCAAAATCGCAATGGGCTTCTCTACATAATTCAGGCGCTCATCCACATGAATGTCGTCCAGCGAGGTCACCGAAGAGTCATCGGCGACACATTTCCGTAACCACGATACATGGAAAGTGTTATGGATCTGACTAAGCTTATCCAGAAGATCCAGTCGATAAGCGACTCTGACAACCCAGGTAAAAATTCTGAACGGGCCAATAAATCGGGGGCCCAGTTTGCCTCTCTTCCGAAATCGGATGACACCTTTCCAAGGTGACACCTTCAGCAAAACAAAATCCCCCACCTGAAACTCGAGATCTGAACGGCGTCGGTCAGCATAACTCTTCTAACGACTTTGTGCGGCCCGCAGCCTGTCGCCTACCTGTTGAACCAACTCAGTTGTCTTAAGCACCACCTCGGTGCTTCCCATGACTCGGTGACCAACCTCCCCCCAACAAATCAGAGTCCTACACCTCCTTCCATACAACATCTCCAATGGAGGTCAGTCGATACTAACAGGATAACTGTTGTTGTAGGATAACTCTGCTAGTGGGAGGTAAGTATCCCAACTCCCTCCGAAGTCTAGCACACAGGCCCGAAGCATATCCTCAAGCGTCCGGATTGTCTGCTCGCTCTGCCCATCGATGTGGGGGCGGTAAGTTGTACTGAAGTGCAATTGAGTGCATAAATCCTCATGGAACTTCCTCCAAAATCTGGAGGTGAAACGAACATCGCGGTACGAGACCACGGATACCAGCACCCCGTGCCTGACTACCACCTCCCGAACATAAATATCTGCTAACTTTTCCGCGGATATGCTCTCGGCAATCGGAATAAAATGTGCACTCTTGGTTAGTCTATCCACAATAACCCATATAGAATCAACACCCTGCCGTTCTGGGTAACTTGGTGATAAAATCCATAGTAATCTCCTCCCATTTTCACATGGGGATGGGTAACGGTTGCACCTTGTCATGAGGTCTTTGATGTTCGGCTTTGACCTTCCTACAAGTCAAACACCTCTCAATAAACCAAGCAAACTCCCTCTTCATACAGGGCCACCAATAGCTCAACCTCAAGTCTGTGTAAATCTTTGTGGCCCCCGGATGAATAGAAAACTTGGACTTATGTGCCTCCTCCAAAATCTTCTGCCTCACCCCACCAGATGTCGGTACCCAAACCCTACCACACTGAGTCAATAATCCTCAACCCTCTCTAACAAACAACGGAATCTGCCCTCTAATCTGCTCGGTATTCCAATTTTCCTTTTTCAATCCTTCTACCTGAGCCTCCTTGATCATGTCCAACAAGGGTGAAATAATGGTAATCCTCAAGCAAATATCCCGGAGCGGTGAGCACAACGCCTTATGGATCAAGGCATCGGCCACCACGTTGGCCTTCCCAGGGTGATATAATATCTTGCAGTCGTAGTCTTTTACCACATTTAACCACCTCCGCTGCCGAATGTTCAAATTCGACTGATCTATCAAATACTTCACGCTTTTGTGATCGGTGTAGATGGTGCATCGGACCCCGTATAAATAGTGCCTCGAAATATTGAGGGCAAACACCACCGCCCCCAATTCCAAATCATGTGTGGGGTAATTCGCCTCATGAGGCTTCAGCTTCCTCGAGGCGTAAGCAATCTCATGCCTTCTCTGCATAAGGACAACTCCCAGACCCGAAATAGAAGTGTCGCAATAAACCACAAAGTCATCCAATCCCTCAGGTAACGCAAGAATCGTGGCCTCGCACAATGTTTTCCTCAAAGTCTCGAAAGCCAACTATTGATCTGAACCCCACCGAAAGGTCACATTCTTCTTAGTCAGGCGGGTCAAAGGTACCACAATCTTGGAGAAGTCCTTAATAAATATCCAATAATACCTCGCAAGACCCAAGAAAATCCAAATCTCGGATGCATTTTTTGGGACCTCCCAACGCATCACAGCCTCGATCATGGCCGGGTCTACCAAGATACCACCCTGATTGATGATGTGCCCCAAAAATTGCTCCTCACGCAACCAAAACTCGCATTTGGAGAATTTTGCATAAAGCCACTCCCTTCTCAAAGTCTCCAACAACTCTCGAAAATGCTGCT